TCGTGCTCCCTGAAGGCCTCCAGCTCCGCCTCCAGTTCGCCGCCGTCCCCGCCGGGCCCCGCCTCGATCAAGGCCCCCGGGGCGGCATCGCCGTCCTCATCCCCCCCCTCGCCATCTGAGAATAGCTCCTCCTCCAGGAACTTTCGCAGCTGCTCGCTGTACTCCTGGCCACCGGCGGCCGCCATGGGGCGGCGGCCAGAAAGGCCTGGATTGATCGGATCGGCCGGGCCGCCGGAGAGGCGCGGAGCGGAGTGAGGCCTCGCAACCGCCTGTCGCTGCTGCGGATTGAGATGAAGGGATGAGACCACGTAGGGGGGTGAGGGGGGTGAAGATTGGGGAGGGGTTTTGTGGTGCGCTTGGCCCGGCTTGCTTGCGGGGTGGCTCTTTCGCCTCCTGTCTCGCGCTCGCGGATGCGGGCAGAGGGACTCACTCCCCTGTGGGTGTGCGGGCGTGGCCGGTGGGTGGGCTTGTTGGGTTGCCAAGTGCGAGTGCAGGAATGGCCCCAGAATGTTACATTTCATCGCGCGAGTTTACGTTTAAATTCTTATTTTAAATTTAAATGCTTGCATTGAAAGGGCTGGAAAGTTGCGTTAGTGTGATTTTAGCTTTCGCACCTGCATACATGGGTGCACACTGAATCAGCTGGTCGAGTTGGGTGTTCTTAGCGGCTTGTTTGAAGGTCCCTATGCCAATGATTATTAAGGAACTGTTTCCAACGTACTCTAGGTCTCACAATGGGACAATTCCGTTCTGGATGCATACCGCCACCATATGGTATTTATCGACGGCCTAAGCACCTGTCTTTCCCACAAAAGTATTGTCGGTCTCGAGTTCCCCCTCTTCTTTGTAGATCCACCAACCAGCATCCCTCACAGCCACCGGTCGTCGGCCGCACATCACCATCCACCGTTTGCAACACCTTACATGCTTCGAAATGACGAACATAAATGGCTCCCTGTGGCTTGCAACGGATGTGGAACTTTTGTTTTCTGGGAGCGTTTTGGATAGTGTGTGCTTGGACTTGGTGGTTTGCGGCTGGCGTCATCCTGCATGCGCTGAAATTGTGTTTTCTCACCCGTAGACTTGAAAGATTAGAGGGTTGCAGAGACCCATGCGGGCAAAGGATTTATAAACACACACCATCCACCATCGGCATTGAAGGGAACACGTTAACGTGCAAATATGCTCCCGCATGTGTTTGGAGACCTTTTGTCAGAGCCCATATAGTGGATCGTTGCGCATTGACGCAACATCATGCCTCTCAATATGCAAGTCGGCCATACACTATGCAAATATGGCATGTACAAATGCTTACAAGTGCATTGATGTGCCTAAATACACTACCCAACACAATATTGAGTCTTTACTACGTATACTCTATAATCACTTAGGCTTGTCGACATCAATGAATTTCTTGGATTGCACGTGTTCGATCAAAAAAAAAACGCACCCTTTGCATTTTGGAGGTGGTGGCGGTGTAATATGGCATTCAAACGTTGCTCAGATATCTCAGATACCATCGATGGTATTCAGCCTTAATGCAGGGCCATGCTAGGCAAACGTGTTGGAATGGGTGGAGACCGACCGTTCACATTTATGACGCCATAACGCTATGGATAGCCCTTTGTGAGGGCAATGTGGAAACGGTACTTGGGGTGTAAGAAGGGCGCTGAAAATTTCCAAAGGCAATATGTTAACCTTGTCATGTTATTCCAAGGCACAACTGCGAGTATGCGTGGAGCCACATCCATGCAGGTGAGAACAAGCCAACGTGTAATGACTATAAATGACAAGCATGCAAGATTACAATGCTTTATAAGTGCCAAAAACAAGCCCCTTCCATGAACGGCGATAGCAATGGTTGGTAAGTATCATGAGGGGCTGGGAGGTGGATTTGTGATCCGTGGACAAACCATAACGGGGCTACATGGGGCACAATATGCATAACATAGGTACGTCTTGTTGTGAACATTGTTACAATCATGCTTTATATATCTTACTTTGGTAAATATGTGTAGAATTGTGCAGGCGGTAAAATAAGGCAATGCGCTTCCTTACAGGAACGATCCCAATGGGAACAACAGGCAATAATCCTCTCTCAATATACCTAAATTGGCAATTTAAATATGTTCTTGGACAGCCTGCAAACAGCACGGCGCTAGCTCATGCGCCGCGAGACCAGCCGAACATCGATGCCTGCGCGGAACCTCCATCCAGCTTCATAACTCAATCCCGCTACCCAAACCCAGGTGCGCTCCCAAATTCGTTTGCCTCCATCGTTCAACAAGCTGTCAGGGCAGCTGCCGCTCGTGGAGCGCTCCTTGAGCGCAAATAGCGACAAACTAGCCCATCAATCCGCCCTTTCCTGCCGAGAAGCGGTCACTCCCCGTCGCTTCTCAGTCTCACACTCACACCTATTTATGCTGGGCGCCTGGACTTTTGTGCTTGTCGAAAGCGACACGCCCACTGTGCCTTTTTTCAATCATGCACACGCCTCGCGTTACCAAATCGGCTTCCCGTTTTAAGAATTCGATCCAAAGGAATTTCACTGAGAATTCCCTGCAATCTGCATTCTAGCATTATTATGGTGAAGAACTGATCGCAATCGTGTCCAAACGGCATTTTGTCCCAAAGGGCAGGCTTCCAGGTAGCAATCCTCAGTCCTCTGATCTGGGTTTACAACTCATGAATTGGAACGACGTCCAATTCTGTACCTTGTGATACAGTAAAACACAGCAACTAAAGAAGCGATGTGTACTGAGTAGTGCAATCACGCCCGTAGGATCCCGCAAGCATTTGAGCTTGGCCTGGCCGGCTCTCAGCTGCCTCTGCTAAAGCGCAGTCCCTCATCTTTGGTCTACACTCCATGTGCAAACGCACCTGCAATGAATGCCGTTCGAATCCAGCACTTCAGTGACGCGAGCGGTTAAGAACCTTCTGTGCACCCTCGCTCAAACGTGATTCGAGTCCATCAGCTCATCAATGCAGGCCGTGGCATACTGTCCAGTGATTTATTCACGCTTGTGAGATGTAGCCCTGCTCGCCCAGAAATCGAATCATTGCCTCTTGCATCTCGTAAATGGCATCGAATGGCGACTTGCTCCCCTTGCCGCACTCCACCACGAAAGTCCATACCTGAAACAAGATAAACCTTTGGCTCCATTGCTTTTCTGTTACATTGATTTGTAACCCAGCCACGCGATGCCCTAACGCAAATTGTGCAAGCGAAGGTTGGGCCAGCATGTACAGAATATTATTTTCTTCATTTTAGTCATAGCATTGCTGCCGTTCAGCGTCAATATCATTTATGAGATTGCAGCAATTGCACCGGTACATATCGGTTGCAACTAGATCGTGGTCTGTTTACTAGCGCAGACGGGCATCTGGCTTAAATGTATTCCTGGCTGTTGTGCAGCAGCACTTCCACACTGGAGTAGAGTTTTTCAGTCCGTGCACTGTGGGAAGGGCAGTCCTTGGAATCTCTTCTGTCTTGGAGTGAACCGTGGACATCTGCAATAGTAGTTAGGCACATAATTATGTGCTGTCTTCAAACAGTGCTGCTTTCTTTTTCCTGAAGGACGTGGAGAAACCGATTCGATTTTGCCACGCATTGAAGAAATCAGCACAACGCAGTGTCGAAAGATAGCTCTGGTTCCTTTTCGACACCTATGCACCACCAATCACGATTAACAGGGGATGAGCGCGATTCAATCATCCACAGAACTTGCACAGAATTATATTGCCTTTTCCGTTGAGGTGAGGGCGCAGATCAGCAACATGTTTCGAACAAAAAGTTCGCTTTTCAAGGGGATGCAAATGCAGAAGGCCAAGCTGCCAGTAGGTATATGTATACTGCACTTTGAAATTCATAGCTGCCTTTTCGCGCGATCCGGAAATAATCGATGTACAATGGAACCGAAGCTGAACTGCTGGTACACATTTTGTGTTATCTTCCCACCTCCGGGTCATCCTCCCACAGGCAGTGCGACGCGCCCTCGATTAACACGAGCTCCGCTTCGCTCGAGTCGGGAACCTGCGACACAATCCAGGGCGGCGTGACTTGGCTTCTCGTGTTTCAGAAAATCCGAGTGGGTGGGCGTATAGTGGCGCAATAAGAAATCGAGTGACGACGGCAAAAGAGTCGCGAATTTTCCAATACTTAAATTGGCACAGTACGAACTGGTAGTCTCCACAACAAAATTGCTGGGAGGGAGGTTCACTTGGCAATCCCACTCGCACCTATATAGGTATCTTGATATATCAAGAGCAACCTATGATCCAAACACTACGGATCAGAATAGAAAACGCTGTCTACATGCTCATACACGCGCGCTTGCATTCATTTCCATTATATCTACCTGTGATATGCTCGTTGCATACTGCTGAATATTGAAGACACCAACCTTAGAGAAAAAATGTAAAGACCGATGTCAGGCCAAACACACGAACCTGCGATCTGAAGAAATCCGCGAATTGCCATGCCTCGATGCCATCCTCGTCGCCAGCAATGAACAGGGCCGCAACGCCCTTCAGCTTCCTTGCGGCTTCCGTAGACATATCGCACTGACCGGCCCTCATCTTGCACGCAGGGGACACATGAATGGAGGCGCCCACGCCCATGCCGTACTCCTCGTTGGCAAGGACCGTGGCCGGAAGACTCAGGGCTCCACCTGCCAACAAATAGAGTAAATTTAACAGATAAGTATAACAATTCAATGTGAGCAACAATAAATTAAAAGCAGCAGTGTCTAGCGGGCGCAGCGCACGGGCGGAGTTGACAAAAGAAATTTTAAGCGATTGCTGCTGCTGACGTTTTGTGCCTATAATATCTGGTAATGCCCAGCCAGGGTTACTTTGCAAGTACATGTTCATTTTCAGACGTGTTCATGCCATTCAATAATGAAATCTCATAGATCATGACAAACGCGTAGCCCCAGCTCCTTGTTTTGCTCGGTGTCACCGATGCGGCTCAAGTCACTCGCTCATGCTGGCCATGGCCAGTTTGGGGCAAGGGCTTTTGTTTAGTAATGCGACAGAAGTAGTCAAACCGAGGACTAACACACCCACCCATTGAATGCCCGCCGATTGCCAGCCTGCTCTGATCCACGCCTCCTTCCAGAATGGACCCCGCAGTCTTTCCCGCCTCCACCACATGGACCAGGCTGTAAACGATGTCATCAACCCAGGCGTCCATGACGCCTTCGTCGACGCCCGAGGACACCCCCACCGTTGAGTACTGCGCCACGACGATGACGCCGTGGCTGGCCAGCTCGTAGAAGGTGCGAAAGTGGTTGTGGGGATGAATGAGGTAGCCCGGAGAGAAGGCCAGCACAGGGAAGGGGCCACCGGAAGATACCTGGACACGGCATTAATGAATTATTCCAGCGAGGTAGTATTCCTCGTTGTAGTTGCATTTGCCACGTGACAAAAAAGGAAAAGCACTGGCGCCAAACCCGCGATGTCGGGCAACGGTCCCAAGCCCCTTGAGGACTCGATGCCAGAGTATTTGTACACAAGAACGGCCGGAGTGAGGCGCTGGGCGAACGCTGAGAACGGTGTTCAGTGGCGCGCTGGAGACGGATTATCCAAAAAAGTTACTGGATCAATTATTCCCTGATGTCGATGCACGATGAATGGTGAGGGGCGGTTCTGGTGAGGGTGATGGCCGTTGCGAGGGCTTTGGGTAAGGTGTGCAAGGTGCATATGGCGAGCATGGTGAAAATTTGTTGTGCATTACGAGTGAGTACGCGCACAATGCACGACAGTGGACGAACAGCAAAGTTCAACGCTCAATTCGACAATGCGCATTAGAGCAAACAGCGCACATTGGTGAACAAATTCGTTGACGACAACTCGTCAAAAATGCATGAGAAACAGCTTTTTCCGGCCTTACATATTCCTTGAGCTTCATTCAGATTTCATAGTCCGAATCCCGGTTGATAATTACCTTCCTCGGCCGACCCTCTCCCGAACGGAGTCTCCAATCCACGGGGTACACCACCAGGGCATCGAAGTCCATCTCCCTCGACCTGTCGTTTACTATGACGGACGCCTTGGGCCGGCCGACCGTCACAACCTCGTAATTCACGCCGAAGCCTCCCCTAGGCGGGTGGCGGTACAGGTCATCGAACTTGGGCAGCTCCCCAGGCAGAGCGGACTCCAGGGCGGCCGGAGACAGGCCCAGGAACCTCGGCGACAGGCGGCCTTGGATGCTGGACTTCTTGTGCCTCTTGCACATCTTGGCGGCGGGCTTGGAAGACCCGGGGTCGGCCACGAAGTGGGCGATGTCGTCCGGGATGGGAAACTGGATGCCGCACAGGGGGGAAGATGCCAGCAGCCCGGGCTGCTGGAGCATGCCGCGGGCGACCTGCGGACGGCGAGGCGACAGCTTTGACCAAACGAGGAACGTGGAGCGTCAGACAGGGCGGCGACATCGATCAGGACGGCAGATCAGACGGAGCGGACAGCGCGGCGCCAATTTTCGCAGAAAGAAACGCTCTGAATTATCGGCGGCAAGCTTTTGGCCCTTTTATTGATGAAATTGTACTACCTGCGATCCTGGACGCACGGGTTTTACCCCCCTCTGCGACCAACCTTCAGTGCTTGTCAAGAACATCCTGCTGTCCATTGATCAGTTCTTTGTTTTCATGCCATTTGCGTGGGCAACAGCTCCCACTCGCCAGGAATTGATTTGCGCCCTTCATAAAGCAATCCCGTCGTCCAACTACAATTTCCTACATTCCAGGGATTCCCCGAACCATTTCACTATAAGAAAACACCATATTTGCGGCACTAAATGCGATGCAATTTTGACACAAAGTGGCGCCATCACTGCGACTGTGACGGCATAAAGCAGGCGTGGTGGCATCAATGTGTCCCCATTGTTATGGACAGAAGGCATCGACGAAATGTCGTGCTCTGCTGGCGTTTGGGATGGGTTTCTCTGGGCGCGCCCACCTGCCCCTCGCACATGCACAGCCCGTCATCCAGGAAGGCCACCCCGGCCCTGCAGCACGCCCGGATGTCCGCCTTGGTGATGTCCCCGCTGCAGTCCGCGGGGAAGATCTCCTCGAAGTACGCCACGCACTCGTCCAGGTGGGTGATCTCCATGATGTCCTTGTAGGGCTTCGTCGCCAGCCTCTCCTCCAGACTACTCCGGGCGAGGGAGAAGTTCAGATCGACGAAAGTCTCGGCTGCGTGTGGAGGACGGGGGTGTGAGTCACCCTTGGACAGCCGCACTCTCGTTTTGCAATTGCTGGTGTGTGTCCTTGTGCGTCCCACCGGCTGCACTACTGTTTGGCTGTTGGACTGTTCGGGGGCGAGAGGGGAGTCTGCTCAATGTGGTGGTAACCATTTTCGACTGCAGGAATCGCGATCATGAAATTAAGAGATATTTAATGATCAGGATTTATTTTGTGTAATTTAATGACAGTTACAAAGTTCACGCAGACCCATGCAGTAAATGAAGTGCCGAAAGTACGAGACATGGTAGTTGCAAGGCACAGTTCTATCGCGCTTGAATCAGCAATGATACCAGAACGAAATGATCAGCAAATGCTGAAATATTTTGAGGTTTCAGCAAATTTTGAACGAACTTTTTATTGGCCTGTAAAAAAATCCTCTTCTGGGCACAGCACTCATTTGACATTACCTTGAAGAAGTTCCCTCACTGTGCCACCATGCAAAGCTGCCTGCCCTCCATTATTCTTCACTTCCTGGTTAAAATGCTTCGTCCCGATCATGGGCTTGTGGACCTCTCCCCATATGTCAGGCCTTGCCTGAACAGCAACACAGCCTTGGTGGGCACAGTGTACCTCGAACGTGAGGGATAAATGCGTACGTGTTCATCCCATTACCAGATGTAGTATTCTGTCCTTTCAATTAGAATACATTTGCAGCTGCAACATTTGGATCATCACGGTGGAGAACGTGGCATCAACGCGCAGTAAAATGTGCATGGTATGTCGCTCATTGCATGAGCACCCACGATCGTTCCCTCCTTCTTACCCACCACCCATTCCCCCAAGATTGGAATCTCTGCCATTGATCTTGATTGAAAACTTCCCACCCCACCCCACTCAACTAAATACCAACCCATCCTCTCTGTTCCCTTTGCTGTTTTCCACATTTGTTCATTTGTTGCACCACATGGCAACCACATGCATGTGCTGTCATATGGCAGCGATTAGTTCATGGAAAAATGAACGTTACCAACGACCCGTTGTGTCAAACGAATCGATGCGCGACTAATCCCTACCCCTGTTTCTCGAAGACTGAGTAAGGCAAATTGGCACAACACACAGCTCTCCAAGACCTTCTTTCATTCAACTGGACTCTCAAGATCATGATGCAGCGCTGAGCGCCGGTGCTTTCTGGTTAGAAAGCTCGTTAAGAACTGTTTAACTATAAAGCACTGCCGCGTTGCAGCGTACACGAGACAATTGGAGTGTTCAAACCTATTTACAACTGTTGGATAGGAGCAGCCTTGAATTGCCAATTGGTTTGCTCACGCTCGCGATCCAACCATTCAAGCAGGAAAAGCATGTTCCATTAGGGACGCGTGCAACGTTCCAAGGCTGTTTTGCTACCGCTGGAGCCCTCCTGAGCATTCTTTCAGGCAAGGCGTGTACCCTTCGTATTATTGAGTACTTTGGGTTTGTGATTGGTTTGCCCTGAAGTGCGTTTATTGGTTACCGTATTGCATTACGCAAGCATGTGAGGCGGATAGAAGGAATTTTTCCTCACCATGAGAAATGAACCTGAAAGACGTGGTAATGACAAACAACTTGGCCAATTTTCATGTTTTGCACAGTAATAGTACATGGCATCCGGCAACAAGAAACTATCTAGCGACGTCTGTCCAAAATTCATTTTTACCGGGTAAATTTCGCTGTGCGAATTATTTCCTTTGATTAACCTGTTTTTGTTATAACAAATGTTTTTTATAACAAAGAACTAATTAATTCTACTTTGGAACTTAGATGCCTTCAATGAGATTAATGCAGGTAATCTACAATGGATTTGTGATATACGTTGTTTAGTGGCGCAGGAATGCCCATCATGTCATGTCATGCGACCTTGAACACAACCGGTATTGCAAGATTTTACGTGCTCATTGCGGTTCATATGAACCGCACGCGGTTCCGTCATAAATTCTAGAGAATGAGTAAATCCGAGGTAGCGATCTGAGATTCATTAAGGCGCACATGTCCAAATTCCATTCAAATATGTCCAGTGCGCAACAGAAAAACCCTTCCAGCGCTGTATCGTATCTGCGCTTCTGGCAGATAGGGGAAACGCCAGATCGGCGACAACCCGGACCTGAGAAGCGGACCAAAGGAAGAGAAACAGCAGCCGCGCAACGGCTGAGCCTGCCGCAGGCATCGTATGTGTGCCTTGACTGTAGGCGTTGCCAGCAAGTTACGGCTCAAAGGGTCCACAGGGCACCTGCGCAGCATGTCGGAGGTGTCAGATCACTGTGAAACGGCAATCTCCACATACTGCAAGGCAAATGTTGACCACCTGGCGTTCCGACAAACTCTGATCTCGAAACATCTAGAATTGCCGTGATACTGAGACACTCGTTTGGCTTGAGCGCTATCAGTTTGCTTGCAATTCCGATCAGAGCACATGGTATTGAATTCAACCGAGCGCGATTCTTTTAAATCGAACTCGTCTGCACGCTTGGCGCGGATTGGTGCAAATCACGAGCCGTTCGGAGTGTCATTGTCTCATCAATCCATTTCCTGCACTGCGCTTGTGGATGAAAGTTGCACACAGAATTAATGCCCACATTGCGTTTGTTCGGACTGCCAATATTTTGATGTATTCCACTGTTGCCGCTGCTTAGTTAAAGTGCATGTTAATGAAAAGATGGCACTTGGATATGGCATTTGCAGTCGCTTGATTTTTGCGAGATAGATCCTGTTAGTGACCGCCTGAGGTGGGGAATTCCATGAAACCCCCAAAACTCAAATTGGGCACCCAATCCATGTTGCTCATTCATTTCCGTGGAAACAGATGCGTTTGCCATATGGCAAGGTTCAATGGAAAACTCTGGCCTCACATCACCCCACTCGTTTGGGATGCGGATAACCTCCACAAAACATCGCGCCACATGGTGGCAGCTTTTCACTTGGGCTCAAAGGCCATCAGCTTGAGCTGAGGATAACCGTTTCGGGCCAGCGATATCGGGAGCCTCTGGACACCTTTGATTGTACACTGTGTGTAATTGGACATTATTGCGGCGCAACGGCAGCATTTGATCGGTGCAGTTCAAAGGCAACATCACATGAAGGCGGGAGTGACTTGCAGCTACGCGTTAGCCGTGGCGTCCAGTCGGCTTCCAGTTGATGGCCGTGTTGATGGTCGCAACGCAAATGCAACCCACTAAAATCGTAGGGAACTGAATGGGCAGCGATGCCCGCACCGATGACAGCCAAAACCACCGCCGCCAACAGTAATCGCTCGTTCGGGTCCAGCATCGGCGCAATGGCTGCGCGCCAAATCCAGCGAATCCGCCATGGCCGAATCCACATGATACATGTCGATGCCCTCATGCCAGACACCTGTCTGTGAATTCACTGATGGCCTTTCATGAAAGGCCACATCCCAACGGGCGCCCGTCACGCCGCGGGCGGTCCTCCGGCCTCCGGACGCGACGCTCGGGGCGGCGCGGGCCACACGGCCTTGGCCCCCAATGCAACTCCGTGCACGCGCCTCCAAAACGCGAAAACGGGAATCCACCGCGAGAAAATTCGACAAAGGCGAGGATGGAGACCCCGCGTGGTCACATGGCCATGCACATGCCCCTGCATGGAGGGGCGCCGCGGCCAGCGGTTCGCACGTCCAACGCGTCCCTCAAAGGACCCCTCGGACGCCTTCCGCCTAGCTCCACTGCGATCAATCCCACGTCGTGAAGGGAGACAGCGCGCCCGCTGCAGAAGCGAAATCGACCCCTCTTTCCCCTCCCTCGCGTGTGTCGGCACCAAAACCCTCGGAAGGCGATCAGTGCGGACGACCGCCAGAACCCTCGGAATGCGATCAGTGCAGACGACCACGTTGGTCTCCAAATCGAACCACCGCCCATCGCCGCCGTCGGGGCGCCGGCAAGCCAGCAGAGACGCAGGGCGATTCGCCAAACGGAATCCTGCATATCCCCCCTCCGTGAACACAGACTACGACGACCGCCGGCGCGCCCAAGGGAACACCACCCGTTGTTCCAGATCATCCCCCCCCCCTCGCCGCCTCACAGCTCCCCGCTTTTCCACCGTGCCAACAAGCACATCGTCTGGCCGCTGGACGTTCAGTCTCCGCCTGGACCCGCTTGCCTCGCCTTTTGGTAAGCGACCTTCGCCAGAACGGCGACCCAAAAGTGCTCAACGTGAAGACAACGCGAGGGGTCGCCGTGAGAAGGCCTGTGCGCATGGGCATTAGGACCGCACCTGCGCAAGCGTGGCGGACCCCCCCTCCCAGAAGGCAGCGCCCCAGCGTGGCGACCCTCCAGGTCGCAAGGGCCTGCACCATTTCTTGGTGGGGCGGCGGTGCGCCTCGACGGAGCCCGAAGAACTCGGTGGGGGAGGTAGGAATTAGTAAGGCTGCGTCACCCAGGACGCTGGCGTCGATGATAACGTTGGGCCAGCTTAACACTGCGTGATGGAAGCGGATCGACGTTGTGCAGGGTACGATGAAGTAGTTTGTCCCCTGGAGCGGCAGCCGTCGCGCGAGTCCTCCTGGAATGTACTTGGACAGTTCAATTCTTGCAACTGTACGTTACGATGGAAATTTTGCGTTGTTCGCTGATGTGCACGGGGCAATGCAGCCATTGAATTGAAACAAGGCAACCAAACATGTATTTGAAGGTCCCTTCTCAACGCCCGCATTGGGTGACGTTACCCAAGAATTCGAGCTTGTCGGTTGGGCGAGTGCCGGCAGCAGCGGAGCCAAGCACGGAGCGTGAAAATGGTAGTGACATGAATATGCAAGCTTTTGATTATTCTGTTCTGAGCACCGCCGAATTGACAACTCAGCCGGAGAGGGTCTGTCGCCCACTGCAGATAAACGCGCTAGACGCAGCAGACGTCGCTCGCATCGGTTTTGCTGAGCACGTG